TAACAAGGTGACTCAAAGACAAGCAAGGATAGTCAGAAATTTTGCGTCACACAGAATAACAACATGTACTGTTCTGCTAACTTGTGGCATGTTTCTATCAATTGATGAGTCCTATGATTTTCTGAATCTCCAGCCTTTCCTTGAAGGGAAACACATTAAATAGTGCCCTTTTATAAAGTAGATTCCCAGCCTTGGTTTTTTACATTCTTGCTAGCCCTCCCTTCAGTATATCCCTCCACAAGCAGTCTGTATTCATGCCAGACTTTCTGTTGTTTATAATAACTTCATAATGAACTTAATGTGTCATATTTGTCACTTTGTTGTCAGTCCCTAGGATAGGCACAGAGCAGCCACTCAAGTATTTGTTAAACAGGTGAAGGAATTTTAATGCTTAAGATCTGGTGGGCTTGATGTCTCTGTGTGTCAAGGGAAGGAGAAGATGAAATTGATGAGTTACTTAGCCACTCCTTAATGAGTGACGTAGGTCTTGAACTATTTCTACATTGGATTTTGGAAAATGGACTCCTTAATATACCTTCTGTCTGCAACTCACAGTTCTTTCAAAGTCCTCTCTTCCAACATGTTCTTCATTCTGTTCCTTAAACTTCTGAACAAACCTTACCCTATGTGGTTCCCATAGAATACTACTGCCCCAGACTGTTGTCAGCTGACATTATAATGGGATATTTTGAATTCCTTATACTTCAGGAAGTTGTGCCCTTTGTAACGTTTGTGTGTTCTTAGGGTCAGGGGAACAAGTTAAGATGAATTTCGGAGAAAATCACTGATCAAGTTGCTTTACAATAAAAGCAATTCTGAAGCCACTTAAATGATCTAACCCCTTGGTAACGACAAATGCCCTTTCCATCTTGCTTGGCTTTAGCAGCAGTGTGACAAAGAGCAGGGGGTCTGCAGCGTCAGGGACTCAGCTCAGCCTGGCTTTGCTGTCCACCTAGCCCATTACCACAGATGATTGACCTTAGTTTCCTCGATTTTAAGAAGGAGATAGTGCCTGTCTCCCAGACTGACCTTAAGAACCATCCATAACGTAGAAATGTAATTCATGGGGAGTAAAGTCCTACTCTAAGTGAATTCTTTATCAGCTTCACAATGGTTCTTTAAGTGGCCACAGTTATTATCCATACCAGTGGCTCCTGTCAGAAGTGGCTACTTAGTAAATGTTGGGTAATACAGAAATATTTGTAAGTGACTTGAAATATTTGTAAGTGACTTGAATGACCTAGAAGGTTTACACAGGGTTAGCATTTTCTATGAACACAGCTCTCTCAAACTCTCTACTTTGGCATTTGACAATATGGCATTCCCTGACACTGAATAAAGGAAGGGTGCCTAAAGTGTGTGACTTGAAGGGTGGTGATTTGAGGGTCAGAAGGGAAGGAAAGGGTGTGTGTAGAGAAGCCTAAAGGCAAACTGTATTTGTTTTGCTCCGTTCCCTGTTCCCTGCCCCAACCCACGGCTTTAACTTGTGCCCTATCTATGGAATCTATGAGCTGAGTAAAGTCTATGGATTGACACTGTATTTGTGCCATAATGACTAGGTTCTTATTTTAGCCTGTAAACTGGACTTACTTAATTTAAAGAATTTAATTCTTTGTTAATCTTCTCCGATAAAAGACATTTTTTCACATATCTTTATGGCTATATGAACAAGGAAGCTTGGACACCCAGAGATGTCTTCTGGGGGTTTGCATGCATCCATTAGGAGTGCAGGAGAGAGGGCATTGAGTGAAGATAATCAAGGAAGACTTGGGAAGAAGTGCCCCTCTACTTGAGCCTTAAGGAATAGAATTCCATTAGTTATGGCTAATATGTTGCAATTGCAATTTAAAGTTTTAGGTGTAGGGCGATGTATATTTTAATTTTAAGCAAATCTTCTCCTTGGATAGGGTGATGTTGGAGTTTGACAGCCCCTCAACAGCTCTCCTGGGCTTGTGGAATCTTGTGTGGCTTGTGGAGGTGACCTGGTGACTGTAGAGAGTCCTAGGGACTGAGTGTTGCTTGGGCTTCTGCCACATCCTAGGTGGGTTGTGCAAGGTTGGAAGGCAGGTGATGGTAGGTGCTTCTTGTAAATATGACCCCAGTGCTCATACTTAAGAGTCAGGGTTGGTAAATGAGAACAGAAATACCCGCTAAAGGTTTTATATTGTTCTCAAGTTTTAATGTGTTCAGAAAGGGAAAGGTCTTCAAACTGAAATGAAAATGAGTAGTTGGAAGTCATGGGGTTCTGGGGATACATGTTAGGAAGAGTGGAGATCGAAGATTAGAGACTATGTGGACATGCCAGGTATCTTTTAAGAAAACCTAGGATAAGTAAATCATAATTTTCAATGTTCATTATGATGTGATGGCGAGCTTACTTGGAAGGTAACTTTTAGCAGATATTTCTATGCACAAGAAGCAATGATAGACACCAGGGAGAAATAAAGGTGAAACAAGGGTCCTTTCCTCTAAAAAATCCCATTTGAAGGATTTATGACTGGCTGATATTGGGGGGTCCCTGTGACGATTGATAAACATGTGAGCCACGTGTTGAGCAGAGGATATGGATTCTGATTCGGAATTTTGTTTGTGAAGTTTTCAGAGATCTCAATCAGACCAGAGAAGTGGTTGAGTGTGTTTCCAGGAAGAGAGAAGGTGGCCGGCAAAAGCTTTCAGAGCTAAAGGGGGTGGCCCTGGAACATGGCTGCCTGGAGGATGATGAAAATGTAGGCCTCATCTAAAAAAGGAAAAGAAAAAGGGAAATGTAGGCATCATGTCAGAGGAGAGAGAAAAAGGGCTCTAGAACATTGTTCCACTGAAGACTTTGAGATGAAAAACAACTATGTGTTGGGAAGATGCTTCTGATGGCAGTGAGGAGAATGGTGTCTGGGCGGCTATTCAGGGCTGTTGGAAGAGTTTAGGGGACAGACATTGAAGATGTGGAATCCTGCAGAGGACGGTTGCTGGCGAACTTCAGAACTCTTCATAAACCTACCAGCTCTCTCCTAATATTTAAATCAGATTCGGCTTACTAAGAAAAAGGAAGTGTTCTTTACAAACACAGATCTTTGTTGGCTGTTCTTGGTATCCTTGGTCTGGAATGAGATCTCCCTGTCTTAAGAAATAGAGCCTCCACGGAAGGCAGGAACAGGGAAAGGGCTATTGTGGAAACTTATGTTCCTTTGGCCTTCCTTTTGCTACACGTCGGCCTGTCCTGGTGTTTTACTCGTCTAAACTCTCTCTCTTGCTGGTTGCTTTTCTGCCTCATCCATAGACAGACATTTCCCAGCGTTCTAACATACCTTTCTTGTTTTCTCTGTTCATCCTGATATTTCTCATGGGGTTATTTCTGCCCTTCACTTGGCTGATTTACTTGAATGTACACCATGATAAACTCTCCTATTCGAGTTAGGAGTGTAAATGAGATACTGCATAGAATATGCTTTGCCTAAGGTCTTGAAACAAAGTAAGTGCTCAGTAAATAAGCCTCTACTATGTATTTATAGGCTTATGGTATTCTGCCATGCTTGATCTTGCTATAAAGTTAATGTCGTGAGTTCTTTGAAGCTTTGATTTTTATAACTTTATCTGACATTCAGCAATTAGTGCTTGTCCACATTGCTTCTAGATTTTTGAAAGCAGTGGCAGGTCCACAGCTGCCCAGTATATACAGCTTGTTCAGTGAATCTTGTGCTCATTATGTTTCCTGGACGACATGTATGGATACATATGAGACAGTCCTTGTTCCTTTGGGCCAGACATATTTGTTGAAACTGTTGTCATTGCCCATGTCTGAAATGTCCATTTCCATCAATGCAAACTTTAGGGTGTCTTTTAGGGGGGCACTTCTTGAAGCCCCCACCAATAGATACACTTGTGAATGTTTCTAGTGTGTTGCCTGACCCCAGTCCCTTTATTGGTAGAAAGACCCACCTTCTTCTTCCCACCCTTCTTTGTGGGGGTCATTCTATAAAACCAACCAAGAAAGAAAGAATGAAGTTTTGCTGATTTTTCTATATTGAGTGTTTAACACTGTACTTTTTCCAAGCTCAAAATTTGAGGGATGGATGGGTGATCTTCACATCTCATGTCATGTTTTTGAAAATGACTGACTGGAGTTGGCAGCTGAAAACCAAAAAAGCAAACACTGACATTTCTGCCCTGTGTTACCACATTACTGCTACACATAAGTTGTCATTAGATGACTAGTCTAACTAGAAACCCAATTTATTTTGTAGCCATTAGAATGTAAGTTAAAGTTTGAAGAGAGGAAATGGGTCTTTTTTATGAATAAAGAAGAGTCATAGAAGTAGACAGCGAAGGGTTGGCTGATGAACAGTTGGATGCTATGGAAGCTGCAGAGAGGAAGTGCATCAGAAATGCGGCGGCTTTGTTCTCTACAGTAAAATGTGGCTTAAGTAGGGAAGTTTATGGAAGAGTGTAGGCTTAAGTTCTCATTTGGTATCTCCATTGTTTATTTCTTTGTAGACCTGTTAATAGCAAGGAAGCCTCTTAAGGGCTAAGAAATGTGGGGAGGAATTTTGTAGAGACATCTGTAAAATAAGATTTAGGTTAAATGGGAAGTCTTAATTCCCCGAAGGATTGGGAAAACAGAGGTGCTTGCAAATTCTTTGACAAACCCCAGAATTTCCAGAATGGTCCATGTTGAGCCACTGGACCAATTAATTCTCTGCAAATGTGTTAAGAAAAGTTGATGCAAGTAGACCTTGTTCTAATTGACATGAGACAGTTTAAATCCTATGGCATCATGCCTATGAAATCTGATTGCTGTTCTCATTTCAGTCCATTCTTCAGTATTACATTTTTTTTGCTAAAAATAACATAATTTAATAATTATATAAAATTCAAAGGCAGAATTTTTTCTGCACTTCATGTTTCAGTGCCTCTGACTCTGAACGTTCAATTGCTAGTTGATTGCTTTCAGTAGTTATTGATGAACACAGGTCTTATGAAAATGTGGTTTTTGTCTTCTGTTTTAGCTATTGTGGACGATGAAAGGCTCTCTGCAGAGGAGATGGATGAGAGGAGGCGACAGAATATCGCTTATGAGTATTTGTGCCACCTAGAAGAAGCCAAAAGGTAAGATCCAGACTTAGTCTACTTGTGCACCTTCTCCATCTTCTCGTACCCCATGATTCTATTTGTAGTTTTGTTGATAGCATGGCCATTTTGTTTTTGGAAATGGTCAGGCAAAATTGAGAAAAAGTTGCTACCAGTCAGGCAAAATTGAGAAAAAGTTGCTACCATAGCCAAGATCAAGGTTTTAGAAAGGCAAATGTCCCTTTCTCTTTGAACCTCTCAGATTATTAAATATACAACCTCTCTGATTTGGATTGGGAGAGCATCAAACACTTAAATGAACTCCTCCACCTCCTCCCCTTGACAGAGCTCTCTTAGATCTTTTCCGCACCCCACCTCCAAAGATTAGCCAGTGCCAGTAGAACAATAGCTAATTGGGCAAAGTCCACTGGCCACTAAGCTAGTTTTATGACAGCAATCTCCTTTTTTAATCCATGGGAGTGTGACCATTTAGGACATGCTGTCTCTAGAACCACATGGACTCCTTTAGTCATTTAAGATTAAGTAAATGTTGGGTTCTCCAAGGAGAAAGTGAAGATAAAGAAAATATTTGCACATTGACCTCTTTATCAGAGAAATCAGAAGGACTTTGTCCTTTGCCTGGGAAACACTGCAGTGCCCTTACACCTTGAGTTAGGTTCTGATTTAATGCTTTGTGCTGTGATGGGAACAACAGTTATTCCGGGGATAGATATGTTCCAGCCCTTTTATCTGTATAGAAAAATAACATTTTGTCAATGGTCATTGCTGTCAATTATCTCTGATCACAGTAAATACCTATCTATAGAGCAGGAAGAATGTGGTTTGAAATCAGTGTTTTGTAGAAGACTGTTCAGTGATATATGCACTTATTTCATCTCCAAAGCACCTAAAAAGGGGTTTCCCAGCTATATTTAATATTTTAACAGTGTCTTGTAACCTGAGCTCTAAAGACTGAGTTTTAAAGGTCATTCAACATGTCTGTGAAGTCTATAGTTAGGTTGCAGGTCACAAAGACTCGTTATCAGTACAAGATTATTAAAAATATGCTTTTACAACATGAATGGAACTGGAAGGGATCATGCCCAGTGAAATAAGCCAGAAAGAAAAAGAAAAATACCTGATGGTTTCACTTATAGCAGGAGCATAAAGGACCAGGAGAGAAAATAATAATAATAATGAACAACTATATACCAGAGACATTTTATGGGGGTGAATTGAGGGATGGGATTAAAAATGGAAGTTGGGGGGAGGTGCACTGGCCTGATTTGGTGATGGGAAGCCCACAACTGAGATGGGAAAAGGCACAAAATGATGTAAGAATAAACTATCACATTAAAATTAAAAAAAAAATGCTTTTAGTCAAATGTTGCTTAAAAAGTTAGTAAAGAAATGATACCATAAATATTCAAAATATGCTTTCAGTGAAAAAGCTTAAGGAGAATTAGTGAAAACTTCTGACATACATCTTGCATTTACATTTTTGCCTCTTGCTTTTTTGTAAGTGGGAAGCAGCGTCACATGGGTCACTGTGTGATGGGGCATCAGAAATGGGTTTGGGGGTCAGTCTGTGGAGTTGGTGGACCAAATCTCATGGTCCCAATTCTACCACTTAAATGAGATGGGCAGAACCCTCTCACCTGTAGAATCTCACGTTTTGCTCCTCAAAGGGATAATAAAGATTGGTATCACCACTGGTCCTATTTGTTTCATGGATTTCTTTTCTAAAAGCTAATTAAAATCAAGAAGGTATATTCTGTAAACTATATAGTGTTACTCAAGTGTGTGGTGATAACATAACCATAGTTTTCACTCCAGTCTATCAAAGGGTGTTGTTCTGGCTTGAAAACGTGTCCTCTTTAGTTTTTGCAAGTCTGTATTGAATTTTGTTTTAGGAATTCAGCATCATAATTACCCCAGGTTCTTTGAAAAAAAGTTTCCTTAGGAATAATTTTACTGAAGGCATAGGCTATAAAATACATAGCTTTCTTCTAAGATTGTTTTCCTAAATACAGTTTGTAAGAAGAAAGTAAATGTAATAGGTATTTGTGAGTCTTTTATTAAGGCCTGACACTTTTTGTGACTCAAGGAAGTGGATTCTTTGGTCATGGGTTAAACAAAAATTACATAATTAGCGGTTATGTTAGTATGTATGCTGTGATTTCAGAAAGCATATTATACAGAATTCCAGTGGTCCTGAACTCAAAAAATAAAGGGGTGAATTAATTTCTGTTCAAAAGATTATTTTAGGAGATTTAATGCATTTTTTAAACAATGTTAATGCCTTAGGAATTTATCATAATGGGTTTATTAGAGTGCATGTGTGTGTTTGTGTGAGTATATTCATTGAAATACTGAGTTTCTACTAAGTGGTCCACTTACAATGTGTGTTCAGCTAGGAACTATTTGTTTCTTCTTTCATTTGAACCGATTGCGGCATATTTTAGCTAGAAATGTATTGGTTCTGCTTCTGGCCTCTTTTTATTCTTTCCAGAGGGAAGGAAGAATATTTTACAAAGTTACCTACTATTGTCTGTTCTGAATGTCAAAATTCAGAATAATTCAGAATTATAATATTTCAATATTCTTAATTTTTGTTGTCTTAATTTCAACAACCTACAATCATTCATATCAGGCCATTCAAAAGTTTCTTTCTCCATTCAGAGAGAATATCATTACTAACATTACAAAATAAAAAAGACTATAAGGGAGCACTGTGAATAATTACATGTCAATGAGTTAGATAAACTAGATGAAATGAAAAAAATTCTAGAAAGACACAAACACCAAAACTGTCTCAAGAAGAAATAAATAAATCTAAATAGGCTTATAACAAGTAAAATAACTGAATTAGTAATCAAAAAACTTCTCTCAAGCCCACATGCTTTACAGTAGAATTTTGCCAAAAGTGTAAAGGAGAATAAAAGCAGACCTTCAAAATTCTTCCCCAAAACACTACCAGAAATATGGCCTGTCTTATTGAGAAAAATATTAGTCTGATAACACATAAAGACACCTCAAAAAAACTACAGGCCAATATCCTTTATGAATAAAAATGCAAAAATCCCCACAATACTAACAAAATGGATCAATTGACATATAAAAAGGATTTCATGTTACCAACTAGGATTTATCCTAGGAATGTAAACTTAATTTAACCCAAATGTAAATCAGTCAAGACAACTAAGTAGGGGAAAAATTAGTATCCTTAAGAAGTGATGTTAAGACAACTGGATGCCTAAAAATGACTTTGGACGGCTGCTTCACACCATATACTTTAAAAAATGGGTCATTAACCTGAGAACTACTACTATATACCTCATAGAGGAAACATAGGAATACATTTTTGTGACCTTGGGTTAGGCAGTGGTTTCTAAGATTTGGCACTAAAGCATAAACAAAAACAGAAAAATAAATTTGACATCATAAAAAGTTATTTCATTTTTGATTCAAAGGATACCATCAAGAAAGTAAAAAGGACCCTCCCTGGTGGCGCATCGGGTTCAGGCACTGCACTAAGAAGCTTAAGCCACTTCCGCATGAGTTCAATCCCCGCCTGCCCCGGAGGTGACCACATGGTGTGGCAGACCTCTCCTGACCC